AAATGCAGTATAATGATTCCAGGGTTAGAGAAACTGTTATTTATACAAAATGTGGTTAACACCTCATCATTTAAACTGGCTGGGCTAATAACACCCACTGTGTTGTTTTCTATTTCCCCTCAAGTCCTAACGTTTGCTCTGGCAGCAGGTCCAGTATGCACTGGGGCAGGAAGGAACCCTTGATAGCTAAAGGCATTTCCCGAGGAAGCTTCCAAGGAGGGATCCAGATGCAGACGGAGCTCTGCTTAAATGGTGTCTAGCATCAGGGCCAGGAAGAACCTCAGTGGTACACCATAACCTACCCATGCAGCGTATGGTGACAAGACTTTAAGTACAATGTAATTCTAAAACCTTACTCATGTTAAAACTATTTGTTATTAACAGTGACCTAACACTTACGGGCAATAGCTGCTCCACAACCTTTAATTGCGTAACAGTGTGTGCAACATGCTATTTCAAAGTATGTGCCCCAAACTGGACAGCACAATTACTGTGAGAATAGTACTACTTGTATATATGGTGTAAGGTAAGTCAAGGAAGCAAGGGAGCCAGTCAACAGAGATGTGCACGTCACTCCCTCTATGAAGCAGCATGGCCAGGGAAACGTAGAGAAGGAAGCGTTTGTTTGGGCTTATTGTCCCAGAGGGACAGGACTCCATGACGGCTGAGTGGGGGTGTCCCAGAGGGACAGGACTCCATGACGGCTAAGTGGGGGCATGAAGAAAGGACAGGAAGCTGAAAGCTCACTTCCTGAGTTGCAAGCACTAAGCAGAATGAAGCCTGAGTCCCATACTTCCCTCAGCAAGCCTGCATCTCCTAGGCCTCCCCAAACAGCACCACCAGCTAGGGACCTAGCATTCAGATGCTCAGTGGCATTTGGATAATTTTTTATTCAAATCAGCACTGAATATAACTCCAAAATTCACCCCTATTTCAATCAGATTAAATACATATACATGTTGTATGACTTTATTATCTTCAAAGTAGCTACAGGCAGCTTTGAAAATTTTTAATGTAAAATTAAAAATATATTTCATCTGTTATTTCTACCCACAGTGAAAATGGTCACTAACCATCTATCTGTGTCAGTGGCCACCATAGTGGAAGGGGCAGACATATATGGTGTCTGTCACCAGAGTGCCTGGAAGGCACTGGCTTAGGAAACCAGAAGGTGCTATGCTCACTCTGCTGGGATGTCTGCTGACCTGTTGGAATCAGGCTTTCAATGTGCATTCCTGCTGTGACTAGAAGGTGAGAGGGTACGTCAGGTACAACACACAGAGGTTCCCCCTACACCTAAATAAAAGGCCACCAAGGCTCACACTCAGTGAATGAGATGAAAACTTGAGGCCCTCTAAGCTAGAATATACAGACTGGCTTACAGGATCAAGGGTTATTTAAGAAGAGCTAGAATATACTTTGCATCTATGGAAATGTGACTAGCTCCGGGAGCACTCAGCCTTGAGTTCAAACACGTCACCCTTCTGGAGGCCTCAGTGCTCACTGATGGCACCTCCCCTTCCTTAACCTGCACTCAGGTCCCCAGGAGGACGTGTCTAACAGGGCTTAGGAAAGAAAGGCCCGGCCCAAGAAAAGCCACACAGCCCAGCTCTGCTGTAGCCGCCAGTGAGATCCACCTGCCCTGCTGGCCAAACTGTGGACTCCTGTTTGCTTCTAGAAGGAGTGTGAACTGTTTGTAGGTCCAAAATTAAGTTTTCTCTGCCAACTCGCCTCAACTTGAGTAGTCTTTGTGCTCACAATGTGAGTAGGGCTCAAAATCCTCTGCATGGATGACACCCGAGAGGGACAGTGAGGATCGCTCATCTCTGTCGCAGTACATGACTGGGAATGGACACGGCTGGGGCGCAGGATCCTGTCAGATGGGAGAGTGATCGCCAGCAAAACAATGCGGACACACGGCACCAGGAAGTCACGGCCACAGCTTTGCACAGGCTTCTTATTCTAAGGCCCCTAAGTAACAGAAAACCTGACTTCCATTAGAGCAGCTTTTAAAAAGCTGTTGGGGACAGTGCACATATGGGTGCCAACTTCAAGCACTGCTGTTCCTCAGGAGCCATCGCCGTGTTTTCAGACAGGGTCTTCTATTAGGTCATGGGGACCACCGGTTAGGCCAGATTGGCCCTGTCTCTGCCCCCAAAACAGGGATTTCAAACACTTGTAAGTTCTGAGGAATCAAACTTGGGTCCTCCATGAAGCTATTTAGCATTGACTGTGGAGTCTATCCTTAATGTGAGAGAGGAGACTCAACTTCACCACTACCACTTGAAATAACTCCTTATTCTGCTGTGGACACAATCCACACAACCGTGAGCTACCACCACCTCAAACAGCTGCCCCATCAACGCTATCGGGATGTGAGAATTTACTTTCAGATTCTATTAGCTATCTAAGGCAGCAGATGTCAACAGGTAAGTCTCTGAGGTAAAAACCAATCTGTGGCTGGAGAGATGGCCCAGCAGCTAAGGGCACGTGTTGCTCTTGCAGGGGACCTGGGTTTAGTTGCCAATGCCCACATCCTGGTTCACAAGCAATGGGATCCAAGCCTCTCCTGTAGCCTCTGTGGCACTCACACAAGGCACAAACTACATGCAGGCAAAACACGCACAGACGAGACGGAATCAACATACTTTAACACTGTACACTGGCTTCTTGTCAGCACGTTTCTTAAGAAACACCAACGCTGTCTGGTGTGGTGGGAACTGAGACAAGAAATCCCAGCCCAGGAGGTTAAGGCCAGCCTAGGTCACACAGCAATGCTGACCTCTTAAAATGCATCCAAAAATAAAAAGAATTACCACACAACACACATACACACACACACCCAGAGAGGGAGGAAGGGAGGGAGGGAGGGAGGGGGAGAGAAATGGGGGAGGGAGGGAGGAAGGGGGAGAAATGGGGGAGGGAGGGGGAGAATCTTTAAGTCCTTGTTTAAGAATGAAATTCACGTGGCTCCGCACACCGATACTCCAAACACATTCACGGCGCTCCAGTCATGAGAAGGTCCTTCCTATCTATCTCACTTCTGACACTTTATATAAAGCAAACGACCAGAAACTACACAAGCGGAAAGGCTGCCGAGCCTGCAATGGACCACCTGATTTACCCACTCTCTCATCTTTTTACAGAAATGTCACGTTCCTGAGAGACTGCACTTGAGGCGTTTCCTCAGACCTTACAATTTCCCAGCTCTCTCCAGCAAAACACATTGTCTGCGTCTCTGCAGTCTCAATCCACACTTCAGCCCCGAGGCGACGCCATTGGCCTTTGCCTTCGTTAGACATCCATAAACTGCTCTGTATCCATGTGGCCCACAGACGCCCAGAGAGCGGGAGTTTGGTTGATGGCCAGTAATAGATACTCTTGTATACAGATCAATTACCAAAGAGCCCTGCAGCATCCCTCCAATTTCAACACCCCTTTCTTCACTCAGCTCTCTTTGTGACTCTCACTTTTGAAGGGGTAATTTTTAATGATTTAGTTGTATGTGAACAGGTGTTTGCCTGCACGTGTGACTGGCTGTGTGATGGTGTGGGCTGCCATGTGAGGGCTGAGAACTGACCTGAGCTCTCTGGCCGTCACGAGTACTGGATGTCCATGGAGCACAGACACAGATGGGAGCAAAACACCACACATAAAATACATGGAAAACGAACACACAAAAATAACCATGTAACACAATGCTGTCATCTTTAGTCAACGACAGTGGACAGTGTGAGTCTCTCCTCTATAGAAGTCAATGTGGAACCAGATGAGACTTAAAAATCTTAGATGGAGGAGTTTTGATGTATTTAGAAATCCATAGGTCAAACAGAAGCAGGCAATGTATTACAACATCCACCCCCAGGACGCACTTAGCAGCTGGGTGTGGTGGTGCACACCCACAGTTCCCAAGAGGATGGAGTTTCCAAGACAACCTGGGTATCTCAGAAGTCTGACTCTACATATAGATATGCTCTCCTTAGACTTCTCATACACACTGGTTCTGCTTAGGTATTTTGAAGCAAGACAAAAAGACACTAAAGCCTAAAAGACACATGTGTCCACATGACAAAATGATGTCATGGCCTTTCTCAAAAGTGATACTTTGCTTCAGTGGTAACTGGATTTGATGATGAAATAAAGTTCCCTCTGCAAGAAGAAACCTGTGAACAGTTTCTTCCGTACTTGCATTTTGAAACTAAAGTCAACTAACACAAATCAACGCCAGGACAATCTGTTCCTCCTCAGCAGTCATCCACCCACTTTCATCATCAAAATGTGAGCTTCAGGGAAAGCTGCAGACATTTAGGATGGCCCCAAAACAGTCAACAGAACACAATGAAGTATAATTTTCATTCTGAAGAATAAAAAAGTCTGTAGGTAGTTCAATCTTTCCCAAATTAGCTGTGCGCCATGCCATGTTGAAGTGTTAGTCTGTGTTAAGTAGGATCCACATTAGCATTCCTGTATTACTACCAGGGAAAACATGTTCACAGTTATTTAGAGTAAAATGATAAAAACACCAGCCACATCATTTTCTACAACACGTGAGCTCCAAGTAAGGAGCATGGGTGCGTCCTCTTCAGCATGATAGCAAACTCCAGCCAGGGCAAATTCACCTGTACTTACAGAGTATTTGCAGCCCTTGAACTGATCTCAAAATATAAACACCTGTGCCCAGCACACCCTGGGCAGGGCTAGGTCCAGCACACAGCAGACACAGGTGACTGCAGGGCTCACTTCACGAAAAGACAGAAATGAGTCCTTCTCAAAGAGAGTGCACGACATCCAGGACCTAGTCCCCCACAAATTTTGTCACTTGAGCTGAGTTCCACGGAAATCTTGGATGCATATCAGACAGCTTTATCAGTGTTTCTAAAATTCAAACACAAACATCCAATTTGAAATTTTACTACGTAGGTTTTCTACGGCTGACCAACACAAATGCCATCAGCCACCCCCACAACAGCTATATGGATCTGAGTACAAACATGGAAAAATCTTGTATCAAATTCACTTTAATCACGGATGGAAACAAAGCTTTAGAAACAAAGCTGCATGATCGGTATGTGCTCACATGGGAGGATCCCAGAGAAATCACATCTGACTGCTCAAGAAAGGAAAGCAGTTCTCTGTACAAATATTTTAGGAAAATACTTGAAATTACATAAGGGTTAAAAACAGAGTTTTACTACAGTTTGCACATGAAGGAGCACACTGGAGCAGGTGTTCTCAGCAAGTCCGGGTATTTACCAGATGGCCTCTGGCTCCCAACAGTCAGACGTTGTCTTTGGAGGAGAGCGGGAGGCTCGTGTGCTCGCTCAGTCGCTGGCCGACCCCGCCCTGCTGCCCTCAGGCTCATCGCTGTCCTTGTCCCAGTCCTTCATGCTGGCACCCATCATGAAATCATCTCGCAGAATCTTCCACCCGGGGCCCTCTTCTGACTTCACTTCGGTCTGAGAAAAGTTATAGAACCAACATATTCACAAATCAGTTTAGCCATAAGGAAAAGTTTAAAAATTGTACACTTCAAAACAAACTTCAATGTGTAGTTTTAAATGAGATTAAATCAAGATAACATCAAATGATCTTATAAACTATGCTCACATATATACAAATACAGATAAAGTGAAAACTTTCAACTTCACCGATGAAACATGAAAGTAAAATAATTTTGAGCTGGGAGAAACACAGCTTGGTAACACTTTTAGACATCTAGACATCAATCAACCTTCAATGATAATTTATTAGGAGGTCCTTGTCTCAGTACCTGACACAATCATGGAATCAGAGACTAATAACAGGCCAAGATTATAAAAACTGAAGCAGGCAACAAACTATGTAGTCAATTTGTTTCAACCAGTCACCGCACTGCTGTAATTCCTGGAGCTAAGGACACACGCCTTCCTTTTGCGATGCAACAGCACCACCTTGTGGCATTAAGTAAGTAATGCAACACATCTCCCTGAAGTTTATTACCAACCATTGTCCCTCACTGACCTGTGTCAGGAACACTGAGGCAACAAAACCAAATCCTATTCTCACAGAGATAGCCAGTCTGCACAAATCTATCCCATTTGAGGGTTATATATACATGTATATATGTAGTAAGCATTCTTAAAGAAAAAAAGGCACCAAAATGCTAGCAAGGTTTCATAAGCTAGTTACCTAACTCTGCTAAAGCTTCTATTTTTAAAGGACACTGTTACATACTAAGGGGGGAAAATGTCCTACCGCATCACTTCTAGATTTGTGGAATGAAAAACTAAAACATGACTTGAACCATACAACCCGGAGACCAGGCAGCATATGGATTTGGTAGCCGGGGAACTGACTTAGTATTAAGTATCAGATCTTGCTGCAATTTAACCAGAAACCAGAAAACTAGGTACCCTGAGCCGTGGAGAACACCATGGTACAATGCGTGTCTTACTGCAACAGGAGGCAGACTCTCCTGGGGTGCAGCCAGACCCTTCCCTGCTGACCTCTGAAACCAGAGTCCTGACGCACCCCAAGTTCTCCCTAACCCCCACTTCTCTTGTGGGTCTCCTTAAGAGACAGCTCCTGAGTGGCTCCTGGAACCAACCATCACAGCCAATTTAACTACTCAACGCTTTCAATTAGGGAGGGAGGGATTTGAACTAGGGTCTCACACTGTAACCCAGGTTAAAGTGGAAAAGATCACTGTAGTCCAAGCTGACCCCCAGCTCCCAGCAATCCTCCTGTCGTAGCTTTCTAAGCATAGGATTACAAGCATGAGCCACCATGCCCCGGTTTCAATTCAGTTTTATTTTTTAATTTATCAACAATATAACTTAGAATTATAAAATGCAGTGAAAAAACAAATTACTTGGCGATTTCAAGTAATTAGTGTTGAGAGTCAGTAAAAATAGACTGGTACCTCAGATAGTCTTGGGGTTTCCAAAATTATGACATTTTAAAAAGACTTCATAGTCTATAATTTGAATAACTAAAATTCATGTTTAAGGAGCAAAATACAGCAAGTTTAGCCTACAGGAAAAGGCAACAAAAACTTAAATTCAGATTCACTTCGGTTTTAAAGTAGAAACATCAAGGATAACTAAGGGCTGGCTTGAAGCTACATCACATGATAAGGGGAAAACGATGAGAAGGTAAAAAGTAAGAAGATCACATACAAAAAGAGAAATAGCTCAAGAAAAAGCAGGGGTCAGTCAGATGGCTCAATGCTGAGCTGTGCAAGCAAGAGGACCTGAGTTCAGATCCCCAGTGCCTATGGAAGAGTGGGGTATGGCAGCAGAGGCCTGTGGTCTTAGTGCTGTAATGTAGACAAAAGGACCCAACTGCTGGGTTCCGAGTACAGAGACAGACTGTCTGCTACTGAGGATGGCGTTCAATGCTCACCGCTAGCCTCCGTGCACACACCCATAGGTAAGAAGCCTAGGATGCAAAGAGACAGTGTGCCCCTCAGTGGCCTGTTTTTACACAAATATTCAATCAAGACCATTCAGTAGCAACTGGTGTAAAGTTTAAAGCTGAAGACAGCTCTTAAAGTGTTAACCAGTTTCCATTTAAGTTCACACACTGACAGCTAAGGCGTGCTGAGGAAGATGATCTGGAGCTATTATTAGTTCAACAGCAAATAATTAAACAATTTAACCTCCATTCCATTCTGAAGAAAAAGTCAAACCCTAAAAGAATGGTCACATCTAAATTTAGCAGTCATCAACAAGTTAATTTCAATTTATCTAGTAAAGTGAATTTTTAATTTTAGCTAAGCAGTTTTAGTATTGGCTAGTTGCATCTAAATACCTTTTTTTTGTTTAAAATGTTTAGCAAACTATTTTCAACTACAGTTATCTTCCTCCAAGTAACTCAGCCTACTTCATCTCCCATTCGCCCCGTGAGATGAAGGATACACAGGGAATTTCTTACATTTAGATAGATGTAACAGCTCACGCTCACAAGTGGACATGAACACTAACGGCTTCTTATCGCGCAGGATATCCCACTGTCACGCTGGTCAGGAGAACTGAAAACACCCTCATGAATGAACAAGAGATTCTGCTGACCCTACACTACAGACGGAGACTCTAGGACAGCATGCCAACGCAGCGCCACTTCTCCCTGGTCCTCAAAGAACCCTTAGCAAGTGACACCTAAGTGTCCTGATGGGTTTTCCCTTTCACATCTTTCCAAGTCTTCTTTTAACCGATGTTTGAATTAACAATCCAGGTGATAAGTTCATTGGGGTTTCATTTTTGTTAACTGTCTGTATAGTTTCCAAATTGCTGTGATGGGCACAGTGACCCATGCCTGTGCTCCTAACACCTGGGAAGCTGGAACAGCAAGATCATAAATTCAAAGCTAGCCTGAGCTTCGAGGGAAAGGTTCACCCCAAACAAGCAAGCAAAGAAATGTGTGTAGTTTTCACATTCAAGTGGTTTATAAGTCCAATGAGGAGACACACACACACACAGAGACAGAAACAGAGACAGAGACTCAGAGAGAGATTTCCAATTACTGAAATTAAGTTACCTTTAATTATAGTTCAAGTACAGAGTTCTCAAACAACAACAACAACAAAAAATCGAATTCTCCTTTTCCACAGCTATCACCCCTGAAGCACAGTTCTGCTGATCCGTGCTTGAATCCACAACTGCTGTGACTTCCTTTTCTGCCCTCCTCACCACATTGAGTCCTTACTCAAGTCAACTGTTTGGATGTGTCTATCCCAAATCACTGTTCATGTAGCTAGTTCCACAAGACTGAGTCTTATATAATATTTATACAATACTGATATTTCTCACCATTCATAGTCTTTTAAAATTATGGTAAGTTGAGGTTCACCAACATACCAAACCCAAACAAAGCACCTCAAGTGTGCCCTACGTATCCTCACAGCAAACCAGGGGGCTGAAACACCTCACATTCTGTGCCCATTAATCACTTGAAATCATGAAGCACATTTCTATTTTATAGTTAAACAACATAAAAGAAAAATCCAGAATATATAACTGACAGCAGACTGTGAATCCACAGGAGAATTAGCTGATCCAATGTCTAAGGTGACAAGTTTGTTAAAAGTCTGAATGAGAAAACCTGTGTGAAAGGACTCTTTTCCAGTGCTGAGTCCAAATAAAGAACATGAATATAACCCATCTACACATTAAACTCAACAAAAGACAGAAACACATAGATTGCTCCTATCAGAGCTCCTAGAAGAATGTGATTTTAGGGGGTAAGACAATGAAAGCAAAGTTTTGAGCTAGATACCTTGTCACAAAATATTCTATTCTACAACAAAAAACTATGGTCATGCCTAAAGGGCCACATAGGTCATTCCTATGGCCACATTTGTAAAGTTAACCATCAAAATGTGAAGGTAGCTGACGGAAAATGTTAAATGGTTCATGAGCCCCACATCTGTGACATTTGAAAAGAGGGACAAAAGTCAAAGCTTACAACTTAAAAGGCACAATAATAAACAAACCCAAACAAATGAAACCCATGTATCCATTGTTAATTCTTCAAAACCACCACCTGTTTCTTTTAAAAAGTCAGTGGTGTTTTTGTTTTTTCAGTTGTTTTACTGGTCTAGAATGAGTGAGAAGAAAAAACTCAGATATAATATGTTAACCTTGACTGGATTTTGGTACTCAAGGTTATAAAAGAATCTTCCTAATTTTATGGTATGTGAATTATATCTCAAAGCCCTATTTTTTAAAGATAATCTTTGGTGTGCACATAGCTACAGCCTTCAATTATCAGCAACCAGCGTTTAAATGAGAAGAAAGATGGGCAGGCAAAACAGGAACAAAGCAAAGAAGGGTTAATGACTGAGAGAGCTGCTAAGAGAAGCAGGCTTGCTCACACCACTATCAGTTAGATTTTCTTCCTATGTGGTTTTCATAAACAACTGTGTAAGAAGTAATCTACATTTTGCATTCAGTGCACAATACTTAAATAAAAAAATACAATTGCTTTCTAGAAAATCCTAATTTCTTGCAAAAACAACTGAAAGGCCAATCTTAACAGGTAAATTTACAAAGAATTTTCTACAGGTGTTTTATTATCTTCTACATCAAAGGCAGGGGATGAGCAGCATAGGAAAAATCCAGGCTGCAGCTGTCTGTCCCTCTTTCCAGTCTATATCTGGTCCCATGACTTGGATCAGGTCTGTGTGGGCAGTGGCACCAACAGCTGCCCGCATAGTGACTGCAGCGGGGACAGAGCCAAGCTGCATCTGAGTCTACACTCCACTGAATATGAGCAGGGTGAGCTGGCCTAGGTGTCCTGACTGTTCTGACTTGGGCTTTTCAATTCTAAGAAGTCTACTTCCAACAGCAACAGCGAGAAAGCCCCGCACACCTCCGAGCACACAGCAACACTCCCAGTCCCACTACTCTTACTGAGGTACCGTGTCAACATGCACCCACCAGACTCCCAAGTTGTTCATGTACCAACTTCTAATGAGATCTGGACACAGTCTTAGAGCAAGACCCTGATAACAATATAGCAGTCTCCACACACATGCCTTTACTCCCAGCACTCAGGAGGCAGAGGCAGGCAGATCTCTGTGAGTTCAAGGCCAGTCTGGTCTACAAAGTGAGATCCAGGACTGTCAGGGCTATTATATAGAAAAACCTTGTCTTAAAAAAAACCAAAAATATAAAATAAAAACAATCAATTTTCTTGTTTCTTGTTAAGGAGGGTTTCTAAGCAGTAGTTGGAGACAACAGCAAGACAAAGCGGACAAATTATCATTTTGTAAGAATTACGTGTTAAAGACTCAACATGTAAGTCTAATTTTTACTGAATTACTTTAGGAACCTTTTGAATTTATAATAGCCAGATAAGCAGTTACAACAGCTCCCTTAGAGCTGGCTGCAGAATGCAGAGTTCCTTTTGTCTGTTATTTTCTAGAATACAGTATGCACAAAGGATAGAGACCTACTCACTGACAAAGCAAAGCAACAGCCATGATCTCTTACAGCACCTGGGTGCACAGACATCTTGCTGTGCAATCTGGGCTATGACTCTCACCTCCAGGATGCAGGCTGTTATTCCTTACACAGAATGCAACTTCTGAATCTCATCAGATTCCAGAATCTGTGATCGTCTCACTACACACAGTATCTAACATCCCCAGAAAGACTCTTAACTGTCTGGTGCTCAAAATGATTACTTTTTGCAAGAAACAAGAAAATACTCTCCAAATTTTAAAGTATGTGCTACAGGCACCAACATGGGTGCAGACTTCACAGAACAAGACAAGGCTCAACCTCAGCCAGGGTATTGTTAATTTCAAGTTAAAGATAGAATCTTTACGATAGGTTCACAATGACTAGTTTACTCTACACTTAGATCATATTCCCATCCTAAACATAATTCACTCCACTTATAACTGCTATTCATGTCAGATAGTATCCTACACCGTGACTACAGTGTTTTGTTTAAGTGACTACAATGAGAAGCTGACTTTGAACTGTTCTCATCCATAGTAATACAGAGGGCTCTGCTTAGAATCTTGCTTTGTCTAAACTCAAATGTTTAGTCATTTTAATAAACAAACATTAAGCTGAATTATTTACAAAGTAGTCATTCCACACATTCCATTTGAAGATCTTAAGGGGGAGTAAGGCCCTGTCCACAGCCCTGCGAGGGGCAATCTAAGGACAGTACCTATTGCTATCCGTTCCCAGGCTTCTATTCCTCCAGATCAACTGGAAATGTCCTGAAAATTGCTGAGGTCATTGGAGACCTTTGTGACCTTCCTTCTAGGCTTTCTACTCAGGGCAAGGATTCCACAGGCCTAAGCACCAGAGTAGCACACAACTTTAAGAGGATCTAACCCCACAGGGGCTGGGCTCTAAGACACCAAGGAAGCCTGTTTCTTCCCTGTCCCCATCTCTGCTCACCATTTAAAGACTTCACACCACAAACATTTCTATATAATAGAAATAAACACCCCTAACGACTCAGCAAATGACTGCTTTCTGTAAGAATGTGCACCAAAATTAGTCGTCCTGCACTGATCTGGAAATTTCTGTCCTGTGGAATGCAGCCAGCTATCATTACTCCCTCTAATATAGTGTTAGTTTCTGATGAATGAAATCTTGCAGAAAGTCTGTAACTAAGGGCAAAGTCACAGGGCAATGCTTTCTTAATAGCAACCAACAGTCTCCTTTGAAACTTAGATTTGAAATACGGCACATGAAGTGCTGGCTTCAGGAAAAGAACTAAATCCCATAAAACCTAATCAGAGCTTATCTGGCTTTTGGAGAAAGAAAAATAATCACATTTTTAAAGGATAAGTAAAATAAACTGACCTATCTCCTATCTTCACAAAATCTTAAGAAAACCTTTACTATTTTAACATCTGTGAGAAAACAAATCCTTCCAGAAGGTACATATCTGGTATGGAAAAAGTCATAGATCCACAAGTCCAACTTTGTAAACACACACTCACTGCCTCCTCGCGCGGCACCCTACACAACGTGCTTGGTCACATACGCCTATGGTCAAGGAAATCAGTTCCCTACTAGGAACCAGTTATTTAAATCCTGCTCACCATGTCAGACTCAAGGTAAGTTGATTCCAACCTCCAATCTGCCTCTGCAATCTGTTTTGGACACCAATAATACCCACTCCTTCCATTCCACAAACCTCCGTTCAGCTTCTCCTGGTGTCTGCCTGAGTCCTCCCTCTTGCTGATTCTGGCAGTGGCCTCCCATAAGCTGGCCACTAAAACTGGCCTTTACTGAAACTACCTTTCCACCACTACTCCCTTTGTTTTTCTTAAAAACAATCTAATCTGGCCAGAGTACATACCTGGTGAAATCAGACTCTAAGAACTCAAATCTAAATCCCCAGAGAATGAGATTTACAATCTGACCCCAACCTGTGCCCTCAAAATCCCTCATGACCCATCAGAAAACACCTTACATGCCAACTTCTATGGAGAAGAAAACAAAAAAGAAAGAAATGAGGTTGGGTTGGTCCTATTTGCCTGAGGGTTCCAACAACCATGAGTCAAAAATATCACAGGAGGGGGAAAATGTCCAGCAGCTGACATACCTTTGCAGCCTGGCCTAAGAGCACTAGAAGTGAGAGGTATTTAAAATGCATCCACTACACAGTCTGACACAGGATGCGGTATCTGCAGGAGTCCTCCCACACTCTGGCACACCGCTACACAGTGTATAGAACACCAGCAAACTGACAAGCACTGCTCTCTACAGAGTCTACTTCACATCAGCTTTAAACTCAGGCTGGGTTCCGATACTCTTGAGCACAGGGCTCATGACAGTCACAATTCCTAACATCCTCATACATTTTCCCAACTGATGTTTTCTAATTTTATAAGCAATGAACACATATAAGCTTGCTGAAATTGTGCAAAGGGCTCCTCGCCCTGTTAGTAAAGGAAGTACTAGGTAGCAAACCACCACCAAATCTGACCTTCAATGCTTCACTCAAAATTTCTATTTGGGAGTTAGGGACACTGTGCTTACATCTTTTCACTTCAACAGTAGTCTTTCCATAAGTCCATCTAAAATAAACAAACAACCTGTCTGTCACGTTTGAACCAAGTGTCTCATGTGTGATTCCCACCATGCACAGTCTTTCTTACCTGTCTGGCTTTGGAGTTCTTCCCAGCAGAACTGTTCTCATTGGTACCATCCATTCCTCGAAGAACACTGATGAAATCCTTCTTGGAAACAGTTGACATCAACTTAGCTTGCTTCCTGATGGAGCCTCCTGCTTCCTTAACTTTTTCACCAATATTCCTTTGGTGTTTCTGAACAGCATTGAATAGTTGAACCACACCCCTAGAGTGTAAAACATCAGAGCAATGTAAAACAGACAGCACAGTAGAATACTGACTTACCACCACAGTCTAGAAAAAAGGCGAGCACTCTCAAGTGACAAATATGCTTAATTTATTCTGGAAAGCAAACACTGAGCGGAACTGACTCTCTGTGGTCTGCTTAGTCGACAGTGCAGGGATATAATGGGCACCATCGCTCTTAGTCAAATCAGGTAGTAAGCCTACTTTACTATAAAGCATGCTGAATCCATGAGCAAATGGTCCTCTCGATACGTTAGTAAGCTAAGTTTTCATATAGTTATTTCAAAGTAATAATGGTTAAGGAGCTATTGAAAACTTGAGTTTTTTGCATTTTCTTTTTTGTTTTTCAAACCAAAGCTAGCAGTGTCTCAATCCCCGGGGGTCCTCACAGGCGAGGAATAACAGACAGAGGAGACAGAGATCTAGTAGCATGTGCAGACTCTCCCTGGCATCTCACTGTCTAACTCCCACACAGATCAGAACGTGACCAGAGCAGCCGTCAACTGAAGCTAAGTATCACTCCACTAAATATATAACTGCTGTGTTTTTTAAGCACCAATTTAATGTTGCCTCCTGTGAAGTCTTTCCCAATTCCCCAACTCCCACGGTTGTCACTGTACACAGAACACATCCATTCTCAAAAGACTCACTTCAACAGATGACGAGTGATCATACAGAAGACACCATATCCTATTCAGCTCTAGATATGGAAGGTGACAATGTTTGGTGCTCATGTGTGTGTGTTTGGGGGGAGGGAAGATTAGAGGAAAAAGGAAAAGATAATTACAATCTAAGAGAACAAACCCACACCGTGCATTTAGACAAGCACAGTCAGGGGTCTGACTACTCAATCCCCACAAGTGTAAAATGGGCAGATTCAGACCAAACACACACTCAGCACACCACAGTTCTGCCTCATGACACCTATAAGGTCTCTGGTTAACTTTGGTGTGTCTCTCGGCTCTGAGAAGGCAGAGCTTAGGAACCCACTGACCACGGAGCTCACTATCACAGCTTTTGCTCTCCCGCACATGTTCTGAAGGCAGAAGCACTGGCTTACCTCGTTGCAATCCTCTGAAGGTTCCTCTCTGTCTCTTTGTCTTTGACAACATCTGGCTTCACTCTGCACATCATCTCCCACTCCCGCTTTTTATCAAGCTGTGTTATAAATACGATTATGTGAAAGAATATTAGGCATTTTTCAAAGTGTAGCAAACTCTGACATGACACTCTGTGAAAGGATAAAGGTAATAAATCAGCCAGTTCTGTGTGTCATGGGGGCTGTTTGTAAAGTCATAGTTTTAGGGCTGGGCTCCCACAGCCTGTGGTTAGCACTCAGCATGCATGTGAGAGGCAGAGTCTCTGAGGAGTCCTCTGGCACCATGCTCTGGAGAACTGCCAGCACACACAGCCAGGCAGTGCAAGGCAGGGGAGGCAGCCATCCCCGACTGGCGCAGCCCACCATCTGTGGGATGCACAAGACCACACTGCCCACTCCAGTAAGGACAAGCTGAGCTGCATGATACCTTCAGGGTGGACTCACCAACTCTCAGAAGCAATTCTGCACCAGTTCTGAACAGAACCACATCATACGTAGATACTCACCTATTGTCTATTTTTCTTTGTATAAAGTCATTTAAACCCATTTTTCCTCTCATGGTATCTAACAATGTTCTCATCACACTTGAGTCCCAAACTCAAATGAACTGATCTCCCACCACTGTGCAAACACTTAAGGGGAGCTGTAGGAAGAAGCCCCACAGAAAACACTCGGGCTGGTGTAAAATGGCCTCTGAACAACATGCTAGTCCCAGAGCCTGGTTTAACTAACTGTCCAGGTCTGCTTCCCAAGCTGACATATACTGACCGGATGAACTATTTGCTTAGATGCCAGTAAGTATCTACAACAAGAACGGTGGAAAATGCTGACTTTTCTCTACCCTTCTCTGCTTCTGTGGTAAGAACATGGCTAAGGCTGGGTGGTGGTAATGCAAACCTTTGATTCCAGCACTCAGAAGGCAGGGGTAGGCAGATCTCTGTGAATTTAAGGCCAGCCTGACCTCCAGAGTAAGTTCCAGGAAAACAACAACAACAAAAAAAGCAACAACAACAGAACACAGCTAGCACTCCAGATCTGACAACACAGACTAGCATGGCTCTTTAGAAAAGGCATTCTTCCTCCGGTCAGTGCATTTCCAAGTCAGCAGACTCATTATCACACAAAGTGAGAAACAAAACCTTAACAAGTTACATGGCATTGCTACCTGACTTCTAGAGATGGTCGGTCTCTCCATATCTGCTATCAGCAAGTGTGCTCCCACATGCTCTGTACACAGCGTGTCTCCAGCACTCAGAGTGGCCTACCACCCACTTGCCCTTGGCTTCACCTTCTTGCCCTTGGCTTCACCTTCTTGCCCTCCCTGGAACTTGGAGACTGTAGGTAACTATAGATTCTGTCACTTTTAAAACTGGTTCTAACCTTTGCCAGTTAATAAACAAATATTCAAACTTCAACAGAGAAACTCCCTGTATAGAGACAACATTTATCTTAACGCACAAAAAGAATTACCAGTAAGGGCAACCCGTGCTTCCAGAGAGCAACACCAGAAAAGGCCAACTCTCCCAACTCCTAAGTGGAATAATCAAAGGAGGAATGAAGACATGCCAGACATAAAAAGCAAAACACGCTGATTCAAGCCTCTTTCGTTCACAGAAACGACTCCTTGCAAGTTTGTACTTTTATACTGTCAGTACAAACATGGAGTTACTTTTCTTTCATTAGAAATTACTTACTTTTATAACCAAATGTTATTAACACACTGATACAGTACAGAGGACATGAAAACCTCACATAGCTCCTTTTATACTATACAACAACCAACTTACATGCAGATTTAGGTCTCTAATCGAAGTTGGACTGACTTCTACCAGCAGTGACTGGCCTGAGCAAGAGTTCAGTCTGTCAGCAGAAGACCATTTCTGAACTCATGCACTTCAGTACTGCTGTGTTTGCTCAGTGATCAGCACAAGACTGTGTCCCTGACTTAGCCCTGCTAACGCTAACCCCACACAAGAAGCCCTTAAAGCCGAACGCTGCTGGCACAAACGCCAAGGCCGGCACAGACAGGCGGACAGACAGACCTGCTTCCTTTTCTCCAGCCTCTCCTGCTTTAGCTTCTCCTTCTCCTTCTCCAGCTCCTTGTTTTTGGTGAGGATGGTGGGTTTACTGCTAGGAGTCTTTTTGTTAAGGATTTTAGCCATGGCGTCTGCCCAGCCAGAATTAGTCCCAGCACTTGGCTCCGCATCTTCCTTTTCTTCCTCACAGGAATCAACATTGTCCTCACTGTCGGCTTCTACTGCACCATCCTCCGACAACTGATCCATTTCTGATTCACAACTTCCTCCTAAACCAGAGAGTAAACACAAATTAAATCTTAGTGCCCTGCCAGATGCTCCGGAGCCAGTGTCTGCAGCACACATAGGAGCGCCAGGATTCCCCATGTTGCTAACAGCACCAGACAGCAGCCCACAACACTGACAGGGAAGTCAGAGTGGCTTTGAAACCCAGGCTGCAGAGATAAATCCAACAAGTGCTCCACTTCCCGTCTCTGGGGGACGGTGGGAGATGGGGAGGTCCAATGCAGAGAGCTTTTAAGACACAGACCTCAGTTGACTTCTAAACTTACCAAAGAGACTAACAAAGATTAGTTTTAAGTACTGAATTATTTGCCCACCAGCGGTGGAGCATGTCTTTAATCCCAGCACTCAGGAGACAGACTCAGGTGGATCTCTGAGTTCCAGACGAGAGAGAGAGAGAGAGAGAGAGAGGGAGGGAGGAGAGGAGAGAGAGAGGGAGGGAGGGAGGGAGGGAGGGAGGGAGGGAGGGAGGGAGGGAGGGAGGGAGGGAGGAGGGAGGAAGGGAGGGAGGGAGGGAGGGGGAGGGAGGGAAAGAGACAGAGAGAATGAGAATACAGTATTAACTGGGTAAGAAAGGCATTTTGGTGCCAGAGTGCCATTTCCTAAGAACTTTGCACCACATGTCAGTATTCTGAACTTGTGTCCACAAAAATACAAATAAGCAGTCTGATTTTTAAAATGGTGGATACAGCAATAAAATTTTGATCTGGTCATTTCTGACATTTTGGGAGGAAGAAAACAAAAACCGAATGATACACTCAAGAAGCTGACCTGCAGTGCTGAGTAACAATGGACTCACCAACCTCTGAGCTAAGTTCCTAGGTGTGCTGCAGAATTCCACCATGTAAAAGCCCCAGTATCAGAGCTCAAACAGCTAATTAGTTATTTACCCAGGGACAGATTTTAATACACACCCTTCAAGTACTAATTTTGAATATAGGTCGGGTATCCCTAAATCCAAAAATCCGAATCCCAAACACTGCAACATGAAAATTTCAACTGCCACATTGATCAGCTGAACTTTGGAGCATTTCCTTGGATCTCTTGGTTAGGGAAGAGAACGATCTGCCAGCAAAGCCTACACACAGGTTAATGTAATCAATGCAGCAAAAGGAGCCAAGGGCCACACAAACTCCCCAGAAGCATCATTGAGGACTTTGTATATTAACATCCAAACAATGCAGCTAGTTAAAAATATATTAACGTATATGCTTTAGTCCTCGGAGTCAGCAGCATTTAAGATACAAATGACACAGCTCCCTCCCTCCTTCTCTCTCTTTCTCTCTCTCTCACACACACACACACACACACACACACACACACACACACACACAAAACTAGTTTTTTAGTAAGCTTTAACATGATGTAAAGAGATACAATCACTAAAAGTTTAAGAACCAACACCATCTGGGACATTAGAAGCAAAAAAGGCCCTACCAGCTCTTAGAAAACGTCAAAACTACAACACTGACATCTAGTGTTCACTCTAATGAACCTGCACAGCAGCAGCAATGAGCCACACTGTGAGGCAGAGAAGTCTTCCCATGAGCAAGCCACTGCAACTCACCACCTGCCAGAGTAATACAACACATTCACCAACCTGGGAAAAGTTTACAGCATTATTTTATACACACCCTACCAATGGAAAGAATTCCAGAAGAATTTGGAAAAGTGATGTTTTTGTTTTGTTTTGTTTTGTTTCCAGCAGCTGGAGGCCTTTACAGTGGCAAGGAAACTCATAAGTAGCAGACACAAAGAAAAAGAAAAAGAAATCCCTGTTTTGTTTTGTTTAAGAAGCTCAGACTCAGGGGGTTTGAGTCCAGCATTTGCTGCTAATGAAAATGATAATATTCAGTATAAAAATTTAAAAATGGCAATGAAATAAGATCGAGCAACACACAAATACCAAGTAGCAAGAGCAAGCTGAGGTACAGCTCCCCTTAGAGCATCTGCCTAGCAAGTCCAAGGCACTGGATTTATCCTTCCCCACCTTCTCCCAAAAGACATAGACTTCTATCCCATATGTCTCTCTGGCTCGTGAGCATGTTCCGTTTCGTTACAACCATAATTTAAATATTACTCAAAAGTATTACAACTTACCAAAAGTTAACCTGAACCACTTACCATCATTCAAGTTTACAACACATACAACTACAGTTATTTTTACCCTTGGTGACTGTCTGGTTTTCTAAGAAAAACGTGTAAAACAGTTACATCAAAAGAGGTTTCAGACCTCAAGATAACGCTCAGGCAATGACTTTCCAAGTAAGACTCCAACAGCTCGGGAAGCAACGGGAAGAACTGAGAAATTGGAACAACAGAAGTCACAAAGCCTCTGTGCAGCGAAGGCGACAATTAACACAGGGAGGGACAGAGCAGAGGAAGGAGAAACCTTTACCAGCTACACATGTGGTAAAGGGTAGCCTGCTAAAATACATACTCCAAGCTCAAGACACAGCAATGCTTACAACACTAAATGCAAAACACTATCACAACCAGGTGGAACGGCTCTGAGGTAATGACGCCTGCTGCCACACTCCTGCAAACTGTCCCCAGACCTCTGCGTGTGAGCACACACAAGTACAAGGAGTAAAAACAACACCAGAACCAGAGGCTCCAAATCCTGCCATGCAGCTTGCTTTTCTTTTTTTTGTTTTTTTTTGTTTGTTTGTTTGTTTGTTTTTTTGAGACAGGGTTTCGATGTATTGTTTTGGAGGCTGTCCTAGAACTCGCTCGGTAGACCAGGCTGGCTTTGAACTCACAGAGATCCGCCTGCCTCTGCCTCCCCAGTGCTGGGATTAAAGGCGTGTGCCACCAACGCCCGGCTGCAGCTTGCTTCTCTTAACACCTCTGGCGAAGGCTGAGACTTTTCATTACCATGCAATAGCTTATGACAGTTTACTTCTTGGACCTGAATTCCAAGTTCACTCATCCCTTTTTGCTTACACTACATCCCTTACCTGTGAAAGAAGCCTGGAGGGATAGGTGTTGTTTTAGGGTCAACTGTCTGTATACTTATGGAACTTTCCAACAGCAAACACACTTGAGAAGATTTGAAAAGCGGTGGTTTACAAAGAGCAGGGTAGGGGGTGGGAAATGCTCAGTAGTTAAGCTCACGTTCTTCCCGAGGAACAGGGTCCCTTTCTCAGCGCCCACACTAGACTGCTAACACAACCACGTGTAACTTGCACTCCAGGGGATCTAGCATCTACGGGCACCTGCGCTCACATTCACATACACGCCCCCCTCCACCCACCCAACACATATGCTTGCCACTTAAAAATAAGAGAAGCAAACCTAAGGAAAGCAGGGCAGTAAGCCACAAAGCGAGCCCGACAAGGAGCACCGTGACGCTTGAGAAACATAAGGAGAAATCTCCACTGCGTCAGAGACTCAAGCCAGTGAAAGCTCAGATGGGCTCGCAAGCCTCTGAGCTGTATTGTAGGCAGTCCAGGCAAAAGGTAGAGGAACTCCAGAATGGAGGGCACGCCCCCCGTCCGAGCAACGATTATGAAGAGAAAATAGTCATTATCAAACAGCAGAGACGGCAGGTAATGAAGTGAGACAAGCCACGCCACCCAAGTTAAAAATACTGGAAGCTGCTCTGGGATGTGAAGCCCTTCCTGAATGGCTTGACACGCTCAGACACACAATGAGAGCTATCAGCTGCTACCCCGTAGGCAGTAACTGGGGCGCAGGAAGCAAACGCTGACCCGTCACTTCCTTCTCAACTAAGAAGCTGGTGACAGGAACGATGGACGCCCAAAAGCAACAGCGAGGGCGGACACACCATGGTGAGAAACCTCCCCAAATACCTTTCATTCTCACACTGTTACCAAACGTTACTCTCGGTTCTCTCCGTCACCACCTACTCTCTCGTCTCTCCCAGACGCCCCCACTCCCCCACTGCACAGCAGTCGCATTTCTTCCCTCTCGTGGCCCGTTTTCGCTCGCGGCTCTCGGAGCCTGGCTCACCCCGGGGACCCTTCCCTTTCTCGCTGTGCTGCCGTTTGTCTCTCTCGGGCACAGGCAGTTTTTCGTCCTTCGCAGCAACAGCTGACTGAGTGGAAAACATGGACTTAGACACGACAGCCGGGCGTCTCTGAACCGCAGGGCTCCTCACCCAACTTCGCCCTCCCCACAGACGCCAACGCCAAGCAAGCATCGCAGCCGGGGCCTCGGGGAGCTCAGCCCGACCTTGTCAGCCGCCGACGCCCCGCCCGACCACGTTACCTTCTCCGTCGGAAGAGCGTTTGAGCTCGTCTTCCAGACTCGACATTCCGGCCTTGGCTACCAGTTTCATCTTTTTCTTCCTCTTCAGGGAACGCTTTAGCTTTTTCCCCGCGCTTACACGTGAGTCCGGAACGGCCGCGGCCATATTTTTGGTCCGCCGGAAGTGGACCCTCCTGATAATTCGATCGGGTTGCAACCGAAGGAACTTCCTCCTCTCGTTCCGGTGATACAAAGTTCCGGAACGCGGTTGCGCAGCCTGAAGTTTCGGGGTTGGAGCCTCGGGTGTGAGCGGCGAAACGCCTTGATCCACCGGTGTTCTCCGGCGAAGGGGAAGCCGGTTCCAGGTCTCACCCCTGCCCCTCTGACGGCCTCTGTGGTCGGCTTCTGTGTACGGTCCGTCCGGCCCGGTTCCGGGCGGCTGCGGCGGCCCGCTCCTGTGTCTGCGCAGAAGGTTGGCTCCGAGTTAGAAACCCCATCCCGGTCACTGTCTCGAGACCAGCGGTGACTGAGTAACAGCTCAGTTACAGAATCAGAAAGCAAACTCGACTTTAACGACTTTTTTTTTTCTTTTTAAACGGCCCCAGCATGTTCCCAAAAGTGTTCCAAAGCTCGATGTTTTCTGAGTAGAGATTTCCTGCTGCCTGCGGGCGGATGAGCCACGCACCTGGCACCTTCCACAAACTGCTCCACAGCCTTGTAGGAGCCAAGGCAGGGGCGACAACAGAGTCACCCTCCTAAATTAAGCCTGATATCCTATCTGCTGCAATTCATTCAACTAAACTCGAACTCCACCCTTTCTTGGAAACTCTAAAATACAAGGAATTTCTTTGTTTTGTGAGTTGCTGTGGGATCCCTACCATAATCCAGTCCCTACCCCCAAACTCGCCAGTGCTATTAAAAGATCTTATCACCTGAAATACATCCCAGCCCTGTCTATAGCTACCAGTACTCCATCCAGGTCTTCCTTCCTTATCTAATCATTTTTAGCACCCAAAATTTGTCTTAAAAAAAAAAGAGAAAAGCAACAGAAAATAAGAATCTTCATTTTAATGTATTTTGGTTGGCGTCTAGGCAGGAAATAAATATATACATCCTAAAAACGAGACATTTCAAAAGCAGCACAGGAAATATGGCATTGTAAATACAGTTTAGGACACGATCAGATTCCAGCCTAAGCCTCTGAAAAGAACAATTCTGGTTCAACTTAAAAGACTTCAGGAGTCATTGATAATTCCTGTGATCTCACCTCTACAGCAGCATAATATGCGGTCCCTGAGGCTGCTTTCTGCTGTCTCGTATTCAGCACTTGTTCTTTTTAAAATACTTACTTTCATCTTTTCCATACAATATATTTTAATCATATTGTCTCTCCTCCCCTAACTCCTCCAATATCCTACCCACCTCACTACCAACCCAACTTCATATTCTTTCTCCCCTTCACCCCCCAAAGCAGGGGAAACAGCAACAAAAATATAAAAACTAATAAACTAGTTGCTATTGCTATTTCAGAGATGACAAAACCAAGGCTGAAAAGAAGTAATTGTTCAAAATCACATAGGCAACAAATCTACTTAGACTTAAGCCTTCTGCACCATAGTCAGCTTGGACACTGAACTGCATAGCTTACTTACATTGCAACATTTTAACACTTAGCATGAAATAAAAATAAGCAATGAAAATTTCAGGTAGCACTGAAATTCAGAAATTAGAAAACAATTTTTTCTCTTGCAATGATCCATAGCAAGTAAAAAAGACTCAAGTAGAAATCCACTGTCACTGGGACCCTATTAGAAGATGACTAATATGAAACCAACTTGACAGAAGTTTTTGGAGCTTTTTTTTCAAATGTTGGATGTCCTTTATATATTCTGGTTTCTAATTTTGAGATTTCATGAGATTTCTGTGTGTGTGAACGTGTGTGTCTCTTCATCTACATGTGTTTCTTGTGCTTTTTCTTTAGCTATTTTTCTCCCATTTGTTTGTTTCGTCCTATTCCAGTTTGCTTGTTTTCATTTTCTCTTACTATTTTTAGATGCTTGTTTTATAATGAGAGAAAGAAAGACTGTGGGTTAGGGTAGGAGGGGAAGTGGGGGGGATATGGGGGAAGAAAACTGTAATCAGAATATATATTGTATGAAGAAAATCTAGTTTCAGTAAAACTGAAGAAAATGCCGTGTCCCAGAGCCAGCTGGCGTCCTCTGAACCCTGGGATAAACAAGTTTGTAGCAGTTATCAAGCCCTAAGCATGCTTCCCCTGCCGTTACGGATTCTCCCTCTGGAACCTAAGCCAAAATATACTCTTTGCCCTTGGTCATGGTATTGTATCACAGCAACAGAAAAGTGAGCAAGTAATAGGGTGAATCCCGTAAGGTTTTGGGATCCATGAAGGCTTAACTAGACCTGAGTCACGAGCAAGTCTAATGTTTTGGGCAAAAGCCTAGAGATTTAAATGAAAGACAAGATGTCTGGACGTTTGTGCTAAGGGATCCTCTGTGTGTGTGTGTGTGTGTGTGTGTGTGTGTGTGTGTGTGTGTGTGTGTGTGTGTGTGGTGTGTTATTGCAAGGAGTGAGCAGCCTTATATACAGACTTACAGCACAGTGGAAAAGCCCCAGGTGTTTAAGAATTCATGTTTTCATAATTAGAGGTTGATGCCAGTGAGGCAAGGCTGGGGCTGGAAGTCAGGACTAGAAAACAGGATGTACCTGTGATTATTGGCTGACAAGCAACTCACAGAGACCCCGTGGGGGCTGGGGGCCCAACAGAACTCACTTTCATGAGCCAGGTGATTTCTTTTTTTATAGAAAAATTGAGCTGTTTCTAAAGTCTGTGCTTCAGATTCCTGTTTCTGTAAGTCTCCTTCTGAGCCCTCTAACTTCATTGTTTTCTTTCTGAAACAGGGTCTCATGTAACCCAGACTGACCTCAAGCTTTCTAATAGACAGAGATGGTCTTGAACGTAGGAGCCTCTTGAATTCCTGATTCTCCTCCGCCTCTCTCTCAAGAGGTGAGATCGCAGGCCTGTGACACCATACCTAGTTTATACAGTGCTAGGGATGGAACCCAGGGCTTAGTACACGCTAGGCAGGCGCTCTACCCACCAAGCCACATCCCCGAACTTCTCTTTTCAAGACACAAGTTTCTAAATCCTTTGAAACTCTGTACAAAGGGATAGTTCCCGTCGCCATTAGTCTCTTTTTGTTGCTTTTGTTTAGTTTTTAAGAGTTGTTTAATTTTTAATTGTGTGCATGTGTACACATGAGTACAATACCCACAGAGACCAGAAGATGTTGTCGGATCTTTGGAGTTAACAGGAAGCTATGAGCTGCCCAGCATAGGTGCTGGGAACTGAAGTCAGGTTCTTTGCAGGAGCAATGCCTGCTGTTAACGATTGAGCCATCTCTCCAGCCCTTTCATTACTCTCTGCTTGGATGCCATTCCTGCTTGCGATGTGATTGAGACCCACTCAAGGCTTCCTTTTCAGTTCTTAACCAGCCCAAGCCCCCAAAGTGCCTTCAGCCATTTCAAAACCATCCCTGGACACAGGGAAAGGACAGACTACCCCCTCTACCACCTCGCTGGTGTAGAGTAAATGGAAACTGGCAAGGGGAACAGGTTTTATTTCACGTGAACAAATTATTCTTAAATTCCTGATCTCCAAGCCTGCATTAGTGATCTGGGCACTGCCGTGCATCAAGGAGACACATTACACCTTGCATAAAACGTGCCCATTAATGCCCACTCTGCTAGGAAAGTTAATAGTTTCGTAGACAGCATTCATCAGTGATGACAAGATTTCACCGATATTTCTGAAGTCAAGCTAGCAAAAGAGGAAAATGAGTTAGTGAATCCTGCCAGGCTCTCTGACCTCCATTGCAGCTGATGGGAAGTACGTCACCAGCTGTGTATGAGGAGCCGTGACTTCCTTCCCTTGTGTCCCCAGAGTGTCCCACAGCCAAAAGAAGCCTCCCAGAGCTCAGCCATTTTCTTTAAGTCTTCAGAGACGGGAAGGCCTCGTCTTCCAAAACAGACAGGGACTTTTTTTCCGGTGATGAGAGCACAGGGGAACTTCCCTAAGGCCGCCATTCTTTTTGTGCATTTAACCAGAAGGTACTTAATTGAGCCCCGAGAAGATTCCAGGTACTGTTTCAGGCACTGAGGATTCCTAGTGAGAGAATGTTTGTTTTTTGTACATGTGATGCTCATAACCACACAAGTGAAGCAGCTACAACTAAGTACAAAAACACAGTAGGCAGAGAACTCCGGTCTGTCCCAGGAGCGTCAGCCCAGCTCAGTCCCCTTCCCCTGTTGTTGACACAGCTTACCTAACTGCCTGTCTATCTATCCGTTTGCCTATATGGACCTCCGTCCCACCACTCCCTGCTTCAATCCCACCATTACCTGCTCTCAGACCAGGTTCTGATCTCCCCACTTGCAGCTGGACTCCATTCTGCCACTTCATCCTGGTATCAGAAGAGTTCATCCGTGGTCACAGCACCATGCTCTAGTTCCCAGAGATTCAAGGCCAGGGGTAGACATCTTACTGACCCAGTGTTAGGCTGAGCTAGGTACTGTGGGGGAATAGGGTCATCCTGGCCTTGAAACCAAAGTCCAGCCAAAGAAACCCACCTGGATCTGAAACCCAAGCTGGCCTAGTGACCTTCAGGCTGTCAAGGTCACATGGGTGGTAGTTACTTTTCTATTGCTGTGATACCATGACCAAGGCAACTTACAAAGGAAGACATTTAACTGGGGGCTTCCTTACAGCTTCAGAATGTTAGTCCATGGTCATCATGGCAGGTAGCATGGTGGCAGCAGACTGACATGGAGCTGGAGCAGTGGCAGAGAGCTTACATCTGACCCACAAGGTGGAAACAGAGAGACAGATACAGATAGACAACATGGGGGAGAGAGACAGACAGACAACATGGGAGAGAGAGAGAGAGAGAGAGAGAGAGAGAGAGAGAGAGAGAGAGAGAGAGAGAGAGAGAGAGAGAGAGAGAGAGAGAGAGAGAGAGACCCAGGAGAGAGAGAACCCGGGAGAGAGACAGACAGACAGACAATACAGGGGGAGCCCCGGGGGGGGGGGGGAGAAAGAGACAGAGACAGACTAGGTCTGGTGTTGGTTTTTGAAGCCTCAAAACTCAATCTAGTGCCACACCTCCTCCCACAAGACCACACCTCCTAATCCTTCTTAAATAGTTCATCAGCTAAGAACCAGACATTCAAACACATGATCCTATGGAGGTCATTCTTATTCAAAATCATAACAGGTTTTAACAACAGCTGTAAAACACAGATGCAAACCCACACAGGGTCTTGTTAAGGAAAATGTCAGTGGCAGCAGGAAAGAGAAAACTGATGTGCGTGTCAGTCTGTCCTTTGATTACTCTGCCAATGAGGAGAGGAAGGAAGGGACCTGACTTCAGGGCAGTAAACTGAGATCCTCTCACTCAACAACTCACCTGCCATTCTGGACTGGCACCCAACTTTGAAAAATTGTATTTTTGGTTGTGAGCCTAGCCTTTAACTGCTGAGCCATCTCTCCAGCCCAAAAATGGTAAAATAAACTGCCTCATATTTGCAACTCTGAACCTCTGGTGTTTTTATTTCTCTCTCTCTGTCTCTGTTTGTCTCTATCTCTATCTCTGTCTCTCTCTCTCTCTCTCTCTCTCTCTCTCTCTGTGTGTGTGTGTGTGTGTGTGTGTGTGTGTGTTGGGGGAGGGGATTTGCCAGAACACTGTTAGCTTTAAAGAAATCTTAGTGTCCCTACTGACAACATTTTCGTCTCAGTGTCAGTATTTCTTGAGCATTAGTTATTTTCCTTTGCTAATCACTCAATACTGTAGGCTAGCATATACGAGAAAGAAGTGTACTTTTGTCTTAGAGCTCTGTCTTAGGTAAGGGCCATGCATCACCC